AAAAAAAAAAAAAAAAAAAGTTGCTGTTTGTTCAAAGTAATTATTTAAAATGAGCTGAAACTACACAATTCTTGATATTTTTTGGGGGAGGACAACTTAATTGTTTTATGTTAACCCCACTTAGCTTATTTGTTTTTAACAAATTTAACTTAATACCTGCATGTTGTCCAAAAACAAATCGGTTGTGAAACCCAGCATTTTTTTGTGATGAAAAATGTAATAGTGTCACAGTGTACATTAGTTTATAAAGTATTTAATTTGTATTGTCAATGAATAAATTATTCAAATTTTTTATAAAAACTAAACAGAACAAGTGCAACGTAGTGGCGCAGTAGGTAGTGCTGTCGCCTCACAGGAAGAAGGTCGCTTTTGTCGAACCTCGGCTAAATTGTCTGTAGTGTAAGAGTGTGTGTGTGTGTGTGTGTGTGTGTGTGTGTGTGTGTGTGTGTGTGTGTGTGTGTGTGTGTGTGTGTGTGTGTGTGTGTGTGGATGTTTCCCAGAGATGGGTTGCGGCTGGAAGGGCATCCGCTGCGTAAAAACGTTCTGGATAAGTTGGCGATTCATTCCGCTGTGGCGACCCCGTATTAATAAAGGGACTAAGTTGACAAGAAAATTAATGAATGAATAAACAGAACAAGGAAACAACAACAACAACAATAATAATAATATTTATATTAATAAAAAATATATATTTGTTTAAATATATTTATATTTCAATAAAAATATTGAAATATATTTATAGTTACTCAAATTGTTTATACGTTTTATACATTGTGTGTGTGTTTTTTTTATTTGTATTTATCAAGGTTGTTTTATTAGCTTTTTTATATTCATGTGCAGTCAAACCCAAAATTATTCAGACAACGTACATTGTTTATATATATTTACTAGTGTGTGAAAAACCCTTTTGTTCATTTGTTCAAGCGAGGGTAAAAAAATAAAGTAAACTGTGACAAAATATATTCATAAAGTGGATTAAAAATCTACAGGAACTGAAAAAGCTGCTGCAACAAGTCTAGGAAAATACTGAAGTTCAGGTTTGTTGAAGGTTTGTTGTTTGAAGCTTGTTGACAGCATTGCCCAGGAGACCACAATATATGTCACACACACGCATACACAGACATTGGTTTTGTTGGTTTACAGGCACTGTCCATAGGCATAATGTATTTTACAAAGTAAAAAAAAAAATCTTATATGTGATTCTACCCCTAAACCCAGTCCTCAGAAGAAACATGTGGCAAAACGGTCAAGTTAAATATGATTTAAGCCCCCTAGAAACTGACTTGGTTAGAATTTGACCTTGTTAGGTAATAATGCTAGTTTTGGGGTTATTGATTCATCAGTGCATGTCATTATGAAAAAAAAAAATTGTTTGATGTTCTATCTCTATTTCTTTAACTGATATCTGAAAATGCACTTTCTGTTTGTTTTCAGTTAAATTGTCAGATTACGTATATATCTTAGAAATTGGCGTGGCTAACATATTTAACCACGCTGGTTCAACAGCCAGTTCTGACAACAAGTTAAGTTGTAATAACTCTTCCCAAATCCTTTTGCCTATTTTTCTGAATGAAATGCCTACTTTACTACATCCAATCAGGTCATGATAAGAAAAAAAACAAGCCACGCCCACTTTTCTCATTTAATATTCTGTTTCTCTAGAAACTGCATCACGATACGAAAAAAAAAAATATGGTCACAGCTTCCGTTTCATGGGGACTTTAAGCATTTTGAATTACAAGGACATCAGGCTTGTCCTGAAAAACCACTGTAATAGATTACAAATGTCAAACCCATGTCATACACAAAAAAATGTCCTGTTAAACCACAAAAGAATACATAGAGAAATATGCAATGGCACACAAGAAACCACAAACTGAGAACAAGTCTTTGGAGACACAAACTGCTGTGAACAGATTAGCAGATCAGACTAAACACAGGTAATGGGACACCGGCTGCTAAACAGGCCTTTCCCATAAAATCCCAAATATGGAGCAGCTCCAAGATTCTGACGCAAACACAATCTTTTTAAAGGAACTAATATATCAAATCCAGTGGAACGTGTTATTCATCGTGCTTAAAGCGCTCTGGTGAGTTTTGACAGGAACTGCTGCATCTGACTTTGAGCAACAAAGTAATTATTATGTTCTCCCAAAAGTATTAATTAGACATTTGAGCATGTTGTAACAAGGTCAGTCTATTTTTTGATGTTTCCTTTTTCCCTGTAAAAATTTTTAGAGGGTACCTTTTCTCAAAAAAAAAAAAAAAAAAAAAAAAAACATTAATCATGGCTCAGTTTAATCTCCGTCTAGCTTTGTAGGTTAAGTGGAAATTATCTCAAAGCCTGATCTCCGAACAGTTTAAGCTTCTGAAAGAAGTCGGGGAAAAAAAGCACAAGATATCCAAATAAGGCACAGTGATCTCTAGGGGCTCAAACAGGCAGTTCAGCAAACAGCACATCATTTCCTATCGGTTCCAGCTCAGGGACGGCCTGAGAGACTCAATTCCCAGAATGCTTTGCTCGGTGCCCCTCGCCTGCTGCATTGAGACCACACAGGAACTCTGCCATGGCATTCCTTTCTAAAAATACGCTCTTGACTTAAACTTCGGAATTACGCACATCCAAAAGTCAGCATTAATGCGGCGCAGAACAGAGTGTTTGGGGATTTACAGTACAGTAGGTGACGCAGACCATGACTTCAGATGGCAGAAAAGTGTTTATCTTTCCATGGAAGCTTGCGAGAAACCACAAATCTCTATCAGACAGTAGTGTGTGTGCTATATTTGAAAAGCTCACAAGCAGTGGTGTATAAGTTACTTCAAAAAATAAGTCATTACAAATTACATCATTTGCATGAAAACATCCAAACTCCACACAGGAATGCCAACTGACCCAGCCAGTAGTTGAACCAGCGACCTTGCTGTGAGGCAACAGTGCTTACCACTGAGCCACGATACCACCAGTAAGTAACTTAATTACTCAATAAGTCATTTAAAATGCATTTAAATCTCAACATATAGGCACTAAAAATAAGACTTTTAATTTGAGTCCAACCAGCACTTTTTACATATAAAAAATGTTAAACATTAAATCCTTAAAACTTTTAAATTAAATGACATCACCTTTAATGCACCATACTTACACATTTATTAATCATTTCATTTTGTCTTAAACCAAGTGCAACTGCTTTGATAACTGAAACTTTTTGGTGAACAAATATAATTATTAACAAAAAATACAATTACTCTGCTTTCTGAATTGATTTATAAAGATTTGTTGAATTTATATATATTAGTATTAACGGCAAATACATTATAATTAACTGTAATTAAAATACCTACAAATGTAAATATTTTACTTTTTCAGAGGAAAAGTAATTTACAGTAATTAGTTACTTTGTAACCAATTAGTTACTTAGTAACTAATTAGTTAGCTTGTAACTAATTACACCCAAAATACACATGTGAGTAGTGTTTACTTCAGTGAATATACAGTAGTCAACATTTAAGTGGATTAAAAAAGTATTAAAAATCTATACTGTGTTTATAAAACTTTTTTTTACATGACTGTGTAAGAATTACACTGTTGCTTTAGTGTGGACAGTAAACAAACATTTTACAATATTTGTGTGTGTTGAGCAACATTAGCACCTGCCAGCTTTAATTGTGGAAAAAAATGGATAATTTTGAGCTATTTTCTGCTAGTTTTACCTTCCGGGTTTAAAATCATTTTTGGGGAGGGATCAAAATCGGTAACGTATCGCCAATCTGCCTGTCCAGAGATGATGTGTCGGTTTCTCATTATTATTCATAGCTGAGTTTTCTTATTCTATGGGAAGAGCCTGCTTTATGAGAGCACAAGCTTTATAAACGCAAGGCAAGCCTGCCATGCTGTGAGGCCGCATCCGCTCATGGCACGCAGTATTTAGCCATTTATGAAGGGTTATATGTGTTTGTTTCCATGAGCCACAGGGTTTGATGAATGTTTTTCCTCGCAATGCTGTCAGGGCCGATACAGCAAAGCTGTTGGTTAGCAGCTAGCATTTCTGTCAGGAGAGCTGTACGAGAATTAGAGAATGGCGTACTTTGTCTTTAATCAGTCAAGTTCATTACCATTCAGACACATAGCCTGTCAGTGCTGCTATGTTCAGCATATATTTAATACTCCAGACTACCAGCAGGGCTAATGGCAGGAATAGACAGGGCAAGAGATCTGCTGCACTTCTATCCACTGTGGCTGCATTCAGACTCTGGGATTCAGAAGGAGAAAAGTCCTCCTCATTTATAGTGTTTATATAAACATGATTATCTTTATAATGAAATAACAAATTGTAACATAGCAGGGCATTAAATTACTTACTGTTTATTTCGTTGCATTTTTACATTGTAAACTAAAATAAGGGATCTCCTCACGATTTGTATTTAATTTTGTCAGACAACTGTTCGCTGCCCTCCTTTTCCCCTGCTCGGCCAGCCACGCCCACTCCTCCTTCAGGTAGACTTGAACAGAAAGAGAGGGGTTTCATGCGTTTGGGGGGTTGACATTCTTAAATACTGAAAGAATGTTTTGTGCGTCTGCCTTTTATTTACACAACAATGGCATTTTGCAGGTCTAAAACTCTGAAAACTGACATTAAGTGTATTTTTTTGTTTTGTTTTTTTCCAAAATCACCCTAAAACAAGAATATGTGTTGTTCAATGGTTTCAGGAAAACTTTGATAAAAGGTCTTGATCCCCAACAGATGTTAAATACTGTATATATATATATATATATATATATATATATATATATATATATATATATATATATATATATATATATATATATATAGCTGAAAAACAAATGTAAACAAAACCAAAAAAAAGTTAAATACACAAGAAAACAACTGAGGTCGACACAAATCATTGCAAAGTTCCAGATGCTAACTGAAAAGAAAAGGAAAAAATAGGTGGAATGTTATTTAAAACAAACAAAAAAAGCTAGATAAATGGATACTCACTGGTGGTGACCTCTTTGATCATCTCTGCAGATGTGTGGCAGCCCGTGACTATGTGTCTGGTCCAGAGTGACAGATCTTTGCAGGTCTCTGCCCTGAACAGGTGGGCTTCGATTCCTAATCTGGTTCCTGTCCGTGTAGCAAAGGACAGCTCCCCACCAGGCTGCGGTGATCCCTTATCTGGACCAGAATGCACCAGCCTACGATCACAAACTCAGCTTAAGAGATTTTTTTTATCGTTCATTCGAGTGTAAAGTCTCATCATCACAGAGGAATAGAAAAACAAACTCAACAACACTGTGGTCCTTTAAAACAATGTTTCCCAACACTGTTCCTAAAGGCATACCAACAGTATACATTTTCAACCTCTCCTTAATCAAACACACCTGAATCCACTCATCAGATCATTAGAAGAGACTCTAAAACCTGAAATTTTATGGGTCAGAAAATGGAGACATTCAAAATATGTATTGCTGGTGTGCCTCCCAGAACAGAGTTGGGAAACACTGCTTTAAAGTTTATAATGGAAATTAGAGCTGCACGATATTGAAACCCTGTGATACATATTGCGATAAAAATGCAATTTCACCAGATGACTTAAATAGCTCTGCTTGGAAAGTCATTACTTTATTGATTGGTTGATGATTTTGTATGAGAGTTAAATATGTTTTATGTAATTTATTATCAATATATAATAAACAGTAAAAAAAATAAATACTGTCATAACAAAACACAATGGAGCAAATGTTAACATGAAATAGACAATGTTTTATGATTTTTTAGAGAGAGTAAAACAGTATTCAGGTACATAAATTGAATAATCAAATGTAAAATAGCATTGCATAGTCTTCATTATATAAACAATTTAATATAATTCTGTATTTTTAAACTTCTTTATGCTCTTTATGTTATCTTAATATTCTTTCAAAAGTTCACACTTATAGTTTGACAACTGTTAGCAAGTTAGCAGGTTTGGCATGCTGTCCTGGGAGAGAACCCTGAGCGGGGAGTACTAGATCAGGTAGTTCTCGAGAGCTCCCCCAAGTAAAGGAGGAAAGGAGGAGAAGGGGTGGACGGGGGGTTTCTTCGGAAAAACAAAGATAAGGGAGTAGTTCTAACTAGGCTACTTATAGTAAGTTTGGATCAATCTGATTGGCTTGCTAATACGTGTAGATGAGTGGCCAGCTGCAGTCAATCATATTACATGCTCCTCTCGAAATTAGTTGGTGAAACTTCACTTAAACTCTTAAAATGTTTACAAAAACCTTAAAAACATATGGAAATGATAAATTTTCACTCTATAATGGTTAAATTCTGCAGTGTCTTCACAAATCTGTTTTGACCTGTGGATTCTGGTCAACTTTAATCCCAACTCAACACAGCATATCTTGCGATTTGACTATTGTAGACGCACACATTGTGATATCAATGCTCAAATGATATATTGTGCAGCCTTGATGGAAATTACAAAAAAAAAATAAAGAAAAAGAAATTCTGTATATTATATATTCCTTAAAAAATAGATGGTTCAACTCAAGTGGTTATCCCAATCAACACATTAAAATGATATAGCATGTATGCATTTGATATTTACATTTTCCAAGATACTTAAAAAATACCATGGTTATACTAGAATAAATTGCAGAAAGCATATTATTCATATGCTATGTTTTCTAAAACATAATAATTCATTAATAATTATTTCTGTGATGTCAGTATTATGTCTAATAAGACAACAAAAGGGTTAAGGAATATAAGTGCTCAATATTATACATTATGTAAACTTATATTGTGCAGTTTTGTCATTCATTCATTCATTCATTCATTCATTCATTTTCCTTCAGCTTAGTCCCTTTATTTATCAGGGTTCGTCAGAATGGAATGGCTAACTTATCCAGTATATGTTTTACACAGCAGATGCCCTTCCAGCTGCAAACTAGTACTGGGAAACACTCAAACACACTTGCATTCACACACGTATGATGAACATTCATTGTTCCCCTTCGGGGGGAACTTCAGCACTATAAGTGGATTTGATTGTAAAATCCACGCATTGGGAGGTTCGGTTCAGAAGCTACTCGTCTGAAAGAGTATTGAACGGGCCAATTAAGAATGAATTGGCAGCGCAAGCCTGCGCAGGTGAGCGGCATAAGCAATCAACTGAGTATATAAGCTCACCTGGCGCCAGCAGACGCTATCCTTTTCGCTTCAGAGACTTTCTGATCGAGTCGATGAGGGTTCCTCCTGCTGTGACCAGCGATTCTGAGCGAACGAGAGCATTCTCCCGGTCCAGAGTGTGTACACGCAGTGGCAGACGGTCGAGCTGGGTTTCTCCCTTGCCTGGCGTTCTTTGGGTCCGGTCCTCCAGAGCGGTGCGTATAAAGTTGCAAACTTCACAGAAAGAGCAACACAGTCGTGCAGCACGTCCTTATCAGGACGGCGCTCCGACTGTGCGTTTCTGGATGCGGTGGTTTCCTGTCCTCGGATGATGGGCGCGGGCACTGCGTTACATGTCTGGGGGTCCAGCATGTTAATGCGCTGCTCGCGGGCAGTTCATGTCGTCATTGCGATGCCATGACTGTTGCGCAAGATCGCGGTTAGCCTTTGCAAAAGGGCGAACCACCCCAGTTGTCCCCTGCTCTGCAGCGGGCACTCGGGCAGATCTGAGGGTTTCAGCGAGAGATAATCCGTCGCCCACGGGCCCGCGGACCTCCCGCTCCTCTAAGCGCTCCATCCAAGCTTCGGGCGGGGGAAGCGATCCGTCTAACAGATGGTAGCCCTTACGCCCGATGACACCGGAGACCAGATGTCCACCGCGGCATCGGAGGGTGGGCTTTCATTGTCCGATGATGATCCAGACCCGCTCGCCCCCTTCGGGCTGGTGAGCGCTGTCACTACGGATCCTGAAACGGACATGTTAGCCGTGCTTTCCCGGGCTGCTTCGGCCGTGGGTTGGAGATGGTTTATCCCCCAGCTCCGCGGCCGGACCGACTAGAGGGGCGTTCCCTTCTTCCCGGAGGTGCACAGTAGGCTCACGCGGTCTTGTAAAGCACTTTTTTTCTGCTCGTGCTGCGTGTTCCTCCACCCTAACCACTCTTGACGGTGAAACAGCCAGGGGGTATGTGGCGATTCCTCAGGTTGAGTGCGCGATGGCGGTAAATCCGCGCGGCGCCTCTTCTTGGCGGGTTCGCCTCGTCTCCCATCCAAAGCCTGTAAGTTATCTACCTCCCTCGGAGCTAGAGCTTACATAGCTGCGGGCCAGGCTGCTTCCGCCTTGCATGCGATAGCCACCTACCAGCGCTACCAAGCGCAGGCGCTGGCCGAGCTGCACGAGGGTGGGTCCAACCCAGGCTTACGAGCTTCGCACCGCCGCCGACTTAGCTCTTCGGACTACTGAGTCCGCTGCGTGTGCGTTGGGGAGGACGATGTCCACATTAGTGGTCCAGGAGCGCCACCCCTGGCTGATATGCGCAAAGTCGACAAAGTCTGCTTTCTTGACTTCCCCATATCCCCAGCCAGGTTCGGCGACACTGTCTGTGAATTCACCCAGGAATTCAAGGCGGTGAGAGAGCAGTTGGTGGGTGATGTCTTATCGGCGGTCCGTAGCCCGCTCCGCCCGCCGTGCCATTCATACCTGCTCCTCGCCGAAGGCGCCCGCCTACGAGAGCTGCTCCGCCCCCGCACACGCCTTCGGCGAAGCGAGCGCGTCGGGCACCTCGGAAGCAGGCAGCCCCCCTGCCCAGAACGCCGCTAAGTCCGGCAACGGACCGCGAAGCGCCCCTGGGACAGGCCATCTGGAGAAGAGGGAACTTGCTCTTTCCCCGCTGGAGGGCGGGGCCCCATTTCCAACGGCACTTTTTACTGCCATGAAAACATTATGAAAGGGCACTTTTCACTTCCCCAGATGTGACAGCCCGAAATCTGCCAGTCTGGGACGCTATGCTTTCTAGCTTGCAGATTCGGTGCGTTTCGCCAGTGGCTCACGAGCGCTGGGAGGACGGTCTCCTTTCTCCCACCCCTCGAGCCTCCCCTCCGGAGCTCGGGTTTGGAGTGAGAGCAAATATCTCACCTCCAGCTTTTCCGTGGGACCCGCGAGCTTCCCGGATCAGCACACCCACTCCGCGCTGCCCCACTGCTGGTACGTCAGCGATTGTAGCGATGAGTCCATTAGCGAGAGCTATGCCTGCCTGGTTAGCGCGGGCCAGCTCTTCGCGGTGGCTCATACGCACAATCAGACTCGGCTATGCGATTCAGTTCGCGAAACGGCCCCCCAAGTCACGGGTGTGTATTCACCAGGGTCAGCCCCCTGTCCGCCCCTGTCTTGCGAGAGGAGATTGCTGTCCTCCTGGCGAAGGATGCAATCGAGCCGCTCCCTCCAGCCGAGATGGAGAGCGGGTTTTACAGCCCACGCTTCATCGTGCCCAAAAAGAGCGGTGGGTTACGGCCAATCCTAGATCTGCGCGTTTTGAACCGCTGCCTGCACAAGCTGCCGTTCAGAATGCTCACGCAGAAGCGCATCCTCCGGTGCGTTCGTCCTCTGGGTTGGTCTGCAGCATTAGACCTGATGGACGCGTATTTCCATGTCTCCACTCTTCCTCGCCACCGACAGTTTCTGCGGTTTGCGTTTGAAGATCGAGCTTGGCAATACAAAGCCCTCCCCTTCGGGCTCTCTCTGTCTCCGCGGGTCCTCACCAAGCCCGCGGAGGGTGCCTCAGCGCCCCTTCGGCTCGCGGGCATCTGCATACTCAATTTCTTTACGACTGGCTGAATTTGCCCTCTCTTTGATTATGCACAGAGTTGATTATGCACAGAGACAAAGTGCTCTGGCACTTCCACCTGTGGGGGTTTCAGGTCAACCGAGAAAAGAGCAAACTCGCCCCCGTGCAGAGGATCTCTTCTCTCGGGCTGGAGCTGGACTCGGTCACCATGGCAGCGCGCCTCTCCGGAGAGCGCGCTCAGCTGATGCTGTACTGTCTGAGAGAGCTCGACAGTAAAATAGTGGTCCCACTGAAACTATTTCAGAGGCTCCTGGGGCATATGGCATCCGCAGCCGCTTCATGCCGCTCGGATTATTCTATATGAGACCACTTCAGCACTGGCTTCACGATCGAGTCCCCAGACGCGCATGGCACGCGCGCGCACACCGAGTCTCTGTTACTGCGCTGTGTCGCCGCGCCCTCAGCCCTTGGAGCGACCCCTCGTTCCTACAGGCCTGGGTGTCTCTAGAACAGGCGTCCAGTCTTGTTGTCGTTTCAGCAGACGCTTCCAACACGGGCTGGGGGGCTGTGCGTTGCGGGCATGCGGCTGCGGACCTGTGGAAAGGTACCCAGTTGCATTGGCATATCGCCTGCGGACCTGTGGAAAGGTACCCAGTTGCATTGGCATATCGCCTGGAGCTGTTGGCAGTGTTCCTCGCTCTCCACCGTTTTTTTCCGGTGCTGGAGCGGCAACACGTGCTGGTCAGGACGGACAGTACGGCGGCGGTGGCGTATATCAGCCGTATAGGGGGTATGCGCTCTCGCCGCATGTCTCAGCTCGCCCGCCGTCTGCTCCTCTGGAGTCATCCGCGGCTGAAATCGCTGCACGCCATTCATATTCAGGCAAGCTCAACCGTGCAGCCGATGCGCTCTCACGGCAGCCTTGCGTCCTGGAGCATGGAGACTCCACCCCGAGTCTGTTCAGCTGATATGGGCGCGATTCGGGGAAGCCCAGATCGATCTGTTGCTTCCCCCGAGATCGCTCATTGCCAGTTGTTCTTTCCCTGACCGAGCGCTTTCGGCACGGATGCACTGGCTTACAGCTGGCCTCGGGGCACGCGCAATACGCGTTTCCCCCAGTGAGCCTGCTCGCGCAGTTACTGTGCATGGTCAGGGAGGACGAGGAACAGGTTGCTGGTTACGCCCCTCTGGCTCAACCGGACCTGGATGTCAGAGCTCTCCCTCGCGATAGCCCTCCCCTGGCAGTCCCTTCGAGAGAGCACCTACTCTCTCAGGGACAGGGCACCACCTGGCACCCTCGCCGATCTTTGGAGATTTTTAGACGCGAGGAAGACTTAGGTAACCTCCGATTGCGGAGGCTAATACCGTCACTCGGGCTAGAGCCCCCTCCCCGAGCGCGCCTATGCCCTGACGTGAAGTCTATTCACTGAATGGTGTGTCTCTCGCTGAGAAGACCCCCGTAATTTGCCAGATCAGCGTTGTGCTTTCTTTACGCCGAGAGAAGCTGGAGAGCAGGCTGTCGCCCTCCACACTCAAGGTTACGTGGCTGCCATCTCCGCTCTCATAACGCGGTGGCTGGCAGCACCGTGGGAACGCATAACCTCATCATCCGGTTCCTCAGGGGCGTTAAGCGAATTAATCCACCCCGCCCCCTCTCATGCCCTCTTAGGATCTCGCCCTCGCTACACAAGCCGCGTCAGATCCCTTCGATCCTCGACTCAGTATATTTCTGTCCCTGAAGACAGCTCTGCTGGTCGCGTTGATATCGATCAGAGGGTCGGGGACCCGAAGGCATTTTTCGGTCAGTGACTCGTGCCTGTAATTGGGCTGGCTTCTCTCACGTATGAGACCCCGCCCGCGATATGTGCCCAAGGTTCCTACCACTCCGTTTTAATACGAGGTAGTGAGCCTGCAAGCCCTGCCCTCGGAGGAGGCAGACCCAGCCCTTATTTATTGTCCAGTTCGCGTTTTGCGTATTATCCGGACCGCACTCAGAGTTTAGATCATCTGAGCAGCTCTTCGTCTGTTATAGCGGTCGGCAGCAGGGAAGTGCCGTACCGAAATAAGTTCCCACTAGATTGTGGATGCCTTCTTTCACTATCAGAGCCGAGATGAGCCGCGTCCCCCGAGAGCGCGTGCGCACTCCACTCGGAGCTTCGCATCCTCTCGAGCGCGCGCACGCGGCGCCCCTCTAACAGACATCTGTAGAGCTGCGGGCTGGGTGACACCCAACACATTTGCAAGGTTTTACAATCTGCGAGTGGAGCTGGTTTCCTCAAGGGTATTAGGTAACCCTTGGTGATTGAGGAAACAATTCGGTAGGGTGTTGAAACACGCTTGCTGCGCCATTTTCCCTAACACGGAGATACGTGCGCCTTTTTATCTGTCAGTAAAGTTCCCCATTAGGTGAGCCCTGCAGATTCCTCCGTGGCCCCCAGCACTGACTCAGCGGAGGAGTCACTTGCTGGCCCACTACGTTGTAGGTCTGCCCGCTGGTCAGCCCGCGTTTTGGGTAAAGGTGCCTGCTATGCGTGGTCCCCACTAGGCGATCCCATATGCTTATTCAGCCACGGTTAAGTCCCCCCCTGGGCGGACCCGTGTCTTCCCTCCCCGCTAACCACTCTTTTGCTATGCGTACTCCCCCTTTTAGGGCTAGTCCATATGTAAATTCTGCCATCTATCCCCCCTTGGGTAACGGATGGCCTCCGCAGCGTCCTCCCCATCGGGATTGCACGCTTCCCAACGTACTGTCGTATTTTCCTAGAATTATCTAGATGCTCACGACTTCCCAAAAAAATATATATAAATCCGTAAAACTTCTGTTGAAGTAGGATAAATTAGGGCCAGGGACACGTTGGAGGACCGCGCCCCCCATGATGTGGGTGCGTCACGCTTGCTTGACTATCTCCTCATCGGGGGTGTTGGTAAGGTGCAGTCATTATGGCGCTTTCAATGGGCTCCCAATGCGTGGATTTTACAATCAAATCCACTTATAGTGCTGAAGTTCCCCCCGAAGGGGAACGTTCGAGGTTACTAAAGTAACCCTTCGTTCCCCGAGGAGGGGAACGGAAGCACTATACTCCGTCGCCATAATGACTGTCCCTTAGCTGTTGAAAGTCTCTTCAGCTTAAAAAGGATAGCGTCTGCTGGCGCCAGGTGAGCTTATATACTCAGTTGATTGCTTATGCCGCTCACCTGCGCAGGCTTGCGCTGCCAATTCATTCTTAATTGGCCCGTTCAATACTCTTTCAGACGAGTAGCTTCTGAACCGAACCTCCCAATGCGTGGATTTTACAATCAAATCCACTTATAGTGCTTCCGTTCCCCTCCTCGGGGAACGAAGGGTTACTTTAGTAACCTCGAACGTTCTCTAGTCTACGGTAAGTAGATTGCAGGTTTGCACAGGAAATTTGCCACTTGTCTTCTATTAAAAAAAGATGCAGTTCAAGTTAGTGTTGATTTTTCTGTCTCTACAGATTTGGTAAGTGTGTGATCAATGTTCTTTGTTTATGTTTATTCAGATAGCAATGTAAGTTAGTATCGTCAGCAGTACTCTTTTAGTTTTAAAGACATACCTTAGTCAAAATGATTTAGGCACTATGTTTACAGTAATATCACAACAATATTATAAATTAAAAATCCTCCACTTCCACACAGCTCTCAGATCTTCTGTAAACGCTGTTCTCCGAATCACTGTCTATCTCCCCTGCGTCTGTGTTTGTGTTGCCGGTGTAAAAATCAGCTGCTGTGCATGTAATGAAACTCCCTTTTTCATGCAAACCCTTCCCTCTTTTGCCACTCGACACTCCCACCAAAACAAAGATGGACACCCACTTTCCTGACTTTTTTCAAATTAAAGGTGTAAAAACACCCTGCTGGTAAAAAGGGGGGGTTGGTGTTCATGGTCCTTTAACAAAACATTAAAAATCGTCCTAAAGGACAAAAATAAATATTAAAACAACTTCTGAAACCACTAAAAAAAGTGGACAGGCACTGTGGTGTTCCATATCCCAGCGTGGGATTTTCTCCAATGAGCTTTCACCATTGGCACAGCTGCCCGACTTGACAGAAACTTGAGATTTCACAGAGCAAGTCGAGCCAAAATAAGTTTAGAAAAGTTCTGAGAAACAACAAAAAAAGCCTAGCTACGCTTTCTGCCAGTTTAGGGTCAACAAAACATTAACACATGCCAGCAGAGGCTGTGATAACTGCCCTATCAGCTTTGGAGTGAGATTCGGGCTGTAGTCCAGCTAAAATTGGACCTCAAATCTTACTCTTGTAGTAATAGCTGCTGCTCGGACGGGCATTTAAAATGCAATTTTACTGTTTCTTTCCAACTGGCTGAGGAAGATTGCAGTTGTGCGTTTCAGTTCCCGATTGGTCATCTCTGCCAGCTGGCATGCAAATGTGTATTTGCATGCGCTTGTACAGAGGCATGTGTTCAACAGAGGTGTGTGCTGTGATTGTTTTTGTATGAATGAGCAGTACGTCTGTGTGTGTGTATGTGTGTGTGTGTGTACCGTGTGGCGAGCAGAGGGTAGGTGTGTGTCGGGGTGAGCCAGTGTTCTCTCATGCGTGGCATACTGTCAAACAGCAGCAGATCTTTCTCCGTCAGCATCACGAGCACCGGCTTCCAGCTCTGCCTTTCACTTTCCGTCTGAAACACAAAGACACAAAACCTCAATTAGATACCGTGTAATTACATTTGATCATATTTCTCCTTGTTATTTGATCCTATTTTTCCATTCTCATTTTTAGACACTAAAGGAACAGTTCACCCAAAAAAATTAGTTTCAGACCTTTGAGATTATTTTACTTTATATTTTATATTGGAAAATGGTACCTGTTGACATCCATGATAGGAAAATGAAAACTCTATGGAAGTCAATGTCTACTTGATCATAACTTTTAACAAAAAAACTATTTTTTACTACTATAAAAAAACATAAATTTGGAACAAGCTAAGGATTATGAGTAAGTTATGACAGTTTTCTTTTTGGGAGTCCTTTCATTTTACATATTTTGTTAATCTGAGAGATATGTAAATAAGCGCAGGTCAAGCAGTAAACCTCTGGGCTGTTTCTCTTTTAGGAAAACTTCATGTAACTAGTCGGAAAGTCAAAGCCAGAGTATAAAAACTATTGAGCCTCTTAAACTGTAACTGATTCATCAGCAAAATGAGCACTGATGTAACATGCTGAAAGCCATTTGCAACTTTTAGATGACCTCAAAGAAACAATGTTACAACATGTTAAAGCGGTCATGTACTGACTATTTAAAATCCCCTTGATCTGCTGACATAAGAGGTCATTGTACTATAAAAACATCCTGTACTTTACCGAACTCAATACTTACTAATCTAAACAGTCCAATTTTATCATGTAATAGTGTGACACTCAATATATATTCAGACAGACACAAAAACATAACAAATGCCATATGTTGTTGTTGTTGTTGTTATTGCAAAGATAGCCTAGATCAGTGGTCACTAACAGGCAGATCAAGGTCCATGTCCAGACCCAGAAGCATCCAATACAGATGCAGACATACAACAGGTCTGTTACTTCAGTCCCACTCCTGCTGGGTGTTCTTTCGCACCGATCACTTCTGCTATTCACACTGTTTACCCACTGTTCCCGCTGAATAAGAAAGAAGAGCCGAACGCTCTCTCTATGCTTAAGTTTCATTTACTATGATGGTGTCAAGTGAAACAGAGCTCTCTGGAATCATAATAAAGTCATATAGAAGTAAAATATATCATAAATATCATAAATAAAAATGCACTGTTGCCTTGGTAATACAAGCATAATGTAAACAGAAGTAATCAATACTTTAAAAGTGCTCAATTATTAAGATGTGTTGACATAAATATAATCTGCATTATTGGTTGAGATGTTGAGTTGAGATGTAAAATAGAAAAAGTGGAAATTTAAGCTTATTTTCTTAAACAAATTATTAGAACATACATTTTTCAAAATGCCCTACTTCTACTTAATTAACGTGAGAATATGCAAATCTACAGTCATATGTGTGGGGCTGTTGCATTGTGAGGTATTTGACACCCAATAAATATGTTTATTGTTCTTTGAATTGTTCTGTAGGCATTTTTTTTCTCTAAGCATAGCACAAACAGTGCCATACCAAAACCGTGACTCTAAAACCATGATACATACTGAACCGTGAGTAAATTGAACTGTTGCACCCCTAATATATATATATATATATATATATATATATATATATATATATATATATATATATAAAATTTTATAATATGTATATATAATTTTTTAATTTATTTATTTTGCATTGCCTTGCTTTTGGTCCTAACAAAGGGAATGTGGATAAAATTTAATTTACCCCAGGCTCCTTCTAAATGTGTGCCTTAGCCTACAGTTACTCCAGTTACGAATTTCACGTTTAACAACTATAGCAGTGGTAGGGAACCTATGGCTCTCGAGCCACATGTGGCTCTTCGATCAAAAATATGTGGCTCTCCAGCTGTCTTCATATAATAATATTTTACCATTTAAAAAATGATAACCATCAACAAAAATCAGTTTCCTATCAAAATTACAATTAGAATTCCCTCTTTATTGTCATTTTTAACAGCAAAATAAATAAGAACTGTTAATAAAAGGATGTTCTTTCTTTATCGATGCACATGCTCAACATGTGATGCTTCATATTTATTTATTTTTAAATTGTGCATGGACATAAATCAAGGTTTTGTTTAAACTTTAAGTATAAAACTAACATAGCATGCAGTTGATAATGAATAAATGTATACTTTTATATACAATTAACATTAACATTTTAATTTACAAAAACTTTTTATTTTTTTATTTTTACATAGATTTTGTATTTACACACATCTGTATATATTATGTATTTATTATACATAATGCTAGAATAACTCAACTTAAAATACATCGTAATTAAATCCAAGTGAAGGCTTTAAATGACAGGTTAATGTTCTAATCACATATTTGGTAATGTGTTTAAAGTTAATGCTTGATGATTATAAGTAAAAACTCAGACCAACAAATCCTTCATTGGATCAAAATGCTGTTTAATTGTATCCTGACGCAATACACCCTTTAAGACCTTTTTTTAACACAAAGAATCTGAACGCATTTTGTAACCTAATGAAAATCTACTTGGAGAAAAAAAATCATCCCAGTATGTATTAGCAACACTTAAAACTTGAAAACTTAAAAATACAACTTAGTTTGTACCTCTCTTCATTACTTTCAAATTTGATAACTGAAAGAAGGCAAAAGACCACTCAAACAATGTAACATTTACTTGGAAAGCAACAATACATAAGACACATGATTAAAACAAGAACAAATGTGTTCCAAAATGCCCATATATTTTATTTAAGCAGAAAAGTAATTTTCATACACAATTACCAGACATTTGCTCTTGTTTTATGCATGAACTCTCTTAATTTGAATCACTCTTAGAAAACAAGACATCGTTTCTTCTGTTTGTACTGAAATAAATCTACCCTGATTCAAGGGTGTTAAGATATTTGTCCTTAAAAAACTAAACTCCGAGAAAGAACATTTTTGTGGAGCATGCACAATTCTCTGCCTTTACTTTCAATCCAAAATAGGATTTCTGAATACCTTTTTGTTGAAACGCGTGAATGTTAACATATCAAATGTTTAAGGTCATAAAATCAGAAGCTATTAAAAGTTCACAGATCAAGGTTAAAGAAAAAGGAAGATCTGGCTTTTGCCATTGTTGGTCCTAAATGGTGGAATAGCAATTCTCTACCTATTAGATTAATCCTTATAATCTCTATTCAAGGTGAAATTTAAGTCACCTTTTAGAAAAAGCATTTAATATCCAAATGCTTCTTAGCATGCTGTTTCTTTATATGTACCGTTTATAAGTCTTTGTCTTTTAGAAGTATTTGAATGCATATCAGTTTTTTGGTTTGTTTGTTTGTTTTTTTAACATACTTGCATTATTTTAAAATGTTTATGATAATATAATTATATAATAATATATTATAATTAATATATTGCAGTGTTTGATATTTTATTATTTTAATCGGCATATTATCTTTTCTTTGGCATTTTTAGTACAACGCAATGGTCATTGTCTGTTGTTGTATCATGCTATATGAATATTTAAATTCAATTTAACTTCTTTTAAGAAAAATAATAATAATAACTGCAGAAACCTTAAATTATGCAAAATTACAAGAAACACACAAGGCCAAAATCTGATAGCATTACACCAGCACCCCCATATTATTTCTGTGAATGAATCAAACAAATCTCAATCATCATCTTTAATGAAAATACAGATAATAACTCGCTCTGCCTCTGAAATGACTTTTCTTTCCGGATGACTTCCCAAATCCCTCTCATTCTTCCCACCCCTCCCCACCAACCATTATTCTGTGTGGAACACCCACTAAACATGATCCAATCACTTCCAGATGGATAAAATTAAGCTCCTCTCCACATTTTCTAATGATTAAATATTCAGTCTTATTCTACAATCCTCTACAGACACCTACAGTAGGCAATGGAATTGTACATTTATTGTACTTTTTTGTTTGTTTACTTGCCATATTTACATACAGTGAAAGACAAAAGGATTAGCCCTCCTTTGAAACTGTAATTCTTTTTTTAAATTATTCCCAAGTGTTGTGTAATGAAGAGATTGTTTCCAACACATTTTAAACTATAATGTTTTTTAAGAACTACTCTACTGTATACTTTTATGGCACATTTATGTAACACAATCGTGCAACAGTAGTTTGCGCTGTAGAAAAAAAAAATCTACATTAAATAAATCCTTTTTAAGAGCTAAATTATTTTGTTTTGCCATGATGACAGTACCTAATTTTTACCAGCTAATTTCCAAGATAAAAGTATTTAGACTCAAGTGTAATTTAAAACCTTGAGGTTAATTAGGTTCAATTCAGGTTTATTAGGCAAGTCACTGGTCAACAGTGGTTTGCTCTGTAGCCTGTATATAGTATATGTATATGTATATATCCTCTGATAAGGTTCAGAAGTTTAATTTTATAGATAATGAAAAGGTTATTATGTAGGAAATAAAATTACTTTTTTTCACAAAAGTCACTTTAGACATTTCTTTGGTTTTATTTTGCGTCAAAACCAGCTAAATCCACAAGACAGTGTAATTAGCTGAAAATCACTAAAGATGCAATTAGAAACTATTTTAGCAAACATAAAACACCTACAGTTTAAAATACATAAATATGTCAAGTAAGTGGTGGTTCATTCTACTGTGGTAACTCCTGATAAACCAGGGACTAAGCAGAAGGAAAATGAATGAATGAAATCTGTCAAGTAAGTGCATTATTCAATAACATAAAAACTGACATGAATTAATTCTTAACAATCTGTTGTCATTTCTGATATTTGGGATTTAGATTGAATGTAAGTAGAACAATGGAAACATTGAAAAACTAAGCTTTTTAGATTCGAATAATATAGTGTAAAACATTGTGAAACATCAATATATGTGCATTGTCCATTAATATAAAAACCTTATCAGACATATAGGTAATATTAAACAATACAAATAATGTCACTGAAAAAAGTGCTGCATGCAGAACTGTTGCAAACAATTTATTTGTGTTGAATATAAACAAACAAATTAAGT